GGTTAAATGGGAAGCCCTCCAGGGCTACAGTGGTTTTATGTTGGCCATTGAACCTCAAATGGAGTCATGGGCTGGAATATACGGTCATAGGCAAACGAGTTATAAAAAGAGAATAGTGCATATCCTAAGACTATTTCTCTTGTTATGACCTTTCTCCTTGTGTCCATGGGCTTGCCCTTTTTCAGCCTCCTTTTGCCTAGTTTCTGTGCCATCCTAGCTGTATTTCCAGAGCTCCTCACCCCAGGAACCCAAAGACCCAACTCATTTCCCATCTGTACTGCCACTCTGATCTTCCATAGCTCTGAAACACAATCAGGGCTTCTTCTCACTCAGCTCTTTCCGGGTTTGTTCTGCAGCTGTGGAGTTTGAATCTTAGTGTTTAAACAAGCTGGTATTACACAGGAAATGGCCACCTCCACAGGCCCCTGCAGGCTTGTAACATGGGGTCATTGTACTTGATATTAATCACCAGTCAGCCTGTTCCCCCAGTAAAAATATGAAGGGGTGTGTGAGGGCCCAGTTGTCTTTAGACTTGCCAGAAGGATGGCCTGAGTCCTGGTCAGACCTTCCCACTCCACTCTCCAAACTGTCTCCCTCTCTTGGTCCCATCCCAGATGGAACTTAGAGAAAAGATCCCACCTGGCCTCTTCCCTATAAAGCTGGCAGATCTGTCTTACATTCTGAGTTCTAGGAAGGAGATAGATTATTGTGCAATACCTTGCCTCACATATGTCATACCTTAATTTTTCAGAGCATGTTGTAATTGAGTAACATATGAGAAAACTCCAAAAGTGTAGGCACACAGAAACCCACCAATCTACCTAACATCAGGGCTTCTCAGTTCTTTGGACTGAAGCTGCTTTCTAGCACTATTTTTCAGAACTAACCCCATCCTGAAGGGTTAATCTGATTACCTAAGTCCATATCCCCCAAACAACCAGCCAAGAGTGTGTGTTGGTTCATTTCTGTGAAATGTGTTTCCCTGGTCACCTGGGCCTGCCTGGGCTGCATTGTATCGGCTAGCAGCTGCACTGCACTCAAACTGACAGCTACATTAAACCTTGGAATTCTGAGGCAATAAAAATTAAATTAACTCTTATTTTTTTCCTTTCCTTGTAGAGTAAGTAAATGTATGTCTGTGGGGAAGTGAGTGAGCCTTGGTCCTGAGTGCATACCTCTAACTAGCCACTGCTGGTCTGTCCCAAGCTAGGATCTGGTATTCAGACCCCCACTAGGGGTCTGCTTTCCTGGTGTGTGTTATGTGCTGTGGGATTGGGCCACTGGGTCACCCTGCAACTGCTGATCTCTGCTCACTAATCACATCACAGCTGTTGGAGAGGCTCCCTTCCACCATTTTGAGAGCCATAAACGGACTCATTGGATGCAGTTTCATATTCTCTGGCTGCTTTGGGTCTGCTTGGTGAAGAATGCACCCGAACTTTCGTTGGATTTTGTGGGCTCTGGGAGCTTTCCCCAAAATATATGAGTTGTGACCAGAACAAGCCAGAGGGACTTGCCACACCCACAGCACTACAGGGTCCACTTAGAACCAAAGGTGGTTTGAGAGTGTCTGAAAAACCACTTGGGGAATCATTTCCCAAGCATGTCTAGAAGATTGGGAGCTGTATAAAGCTCCTCAAAGCCACCAAAATTTAACTTTGGGTTCTTTAGCCCAGCCAACCTTGAATCCTTAGAATCTAAGGACTGCTGTGTGGTGAAGGTTGGAAGGCTCTCCTAGCTTGGATAAGGAACTAGAGCAGCAGAAAGCTAAGCTTTTCCCCTTCTACTCAGACAGGAAACCCTGTGTTCACCACGGGACTGACCTCTCTGCCTAGAGGCCTAGTTCGGGTAAGCCGAGGTGGTATTGCCCGGGTTCCAGGAATTACCTCATCCTTTTGCATATATCTTAACTTTCAAGTTCAGGCATCTCACCTAGTTTTTGGAAATACCTGATTCTTTTAATAATAATTTCCTGACACTCTCCTCTTCCCCACCCTTTGTGGAAAATCACTGCATTGCCCATGTGCCTAGGGAGTTGTGTTCATGTCTGTGGTGCTCAGTGAGAGAGAGAAGATAACTGATGATTTAATTTATGAAATATGAAGTGATCTTAAAAGGCAATCCCACTGAGATACCAGAAGAAAGCAGGTATTCAGAATCAAATGTTCAAATACAAGACCAGTCTGAGTGGATCAGGGCAGAAATGACCTTCCATTGAAGCATTTTGTATTTTCTTTTGTTTCTGCTCAGTCTGGCTTAGCTCTTGGGCCACTTTGTATTTCTGAGTTGGGAACTCAGGATACTTCCTATGTCTTTTGGCACCAGCTGCTGTCTTACAAATCAACACTGGAATAGGAACTCTCATCCATTTCATGTCTGCAGTGAGTCCTAGGGTTTTGGCACAAGGTGGGTGGTAATGGGCAAAAGGCAGATGTGGGCCGGGGTCCCTAGTGGTGGCTAGCAGTCTCTGGGAGGAGTCAGTTTTGGTTTATGCCTTAGGGGACAGGGGAGCATGGTAATGAGAACCACATGGTACCACATATTTCTTCGTCTTGGATCCAAGATGGTAGGGGTGGGAGGATGAGAGAGGGATGTAGGGCCTCCCACTGTGGCAGCCGTGGGTAATTTTCTGCCTCCTCTCCCTGGCTGGGCATGCTGCTACCCACACCTTCCCACCCCCAACTACGTCCTGAAGCAGCCTTGACCTGCGCAGCACCAACCAAGGCTCCCAAGCCAAGAATTCAGCTGGGAGACTTTTCACCTTCTTCCTTCTCACTGTTGTCTTTCCTGTTTATTTTCCAAATTGCTGCTCTGCAGTCGAGCAGTGCCTGTTGGCCAGAACTCACCAGCGCTGTGGGATCAGACTCAGGCAGTGGGCTCAAGTGGCCAGCAGGGCACTGGGGGAGGAAGTGGGGAGCTGGAAGAGCCTCTCTGTGCGTCTCCCATGGGCAGCACTAACCTCGGAGGCGGCCCTGAGCAGCCCTATCACATCCGGTGCTTGTCTCTGCAGCCGGGACCAGAGGATAAACTATCAGAGCTGTGGGGCAGTGCATCATTCCTCTTATTATTTTCTTCTCTGCAGATGGGGTCGTGGAAAGTTCAGTTCCTTTTAACCCTCGAAGTTCTGTTTATTCTACAGCTGGTAGCCTGAGTGCTGCATTTCCCATTACATCACAAAGGGGCTCAGGCAGATCTCTGCACAGAAACGTGTTGCAACTGTTTATTTTTTTCCATATTTAAACATTTCTGACAGCCAAACTTGGCTGAGCCAAAAGATGGAGCTTTGTGAATGAGTCTGGTTGTTGGTGTCTGTGCAAAGAGACTTTAGAAAACTCTTGTCCCTCTGGTGATTCTTCCCAAACATATTCTTTTTCCTGGGCAAAGCCTCTGAAGCAAGTTACTTCTGCAGTACACGTGTGTTGATTATGTGCCGTTGTGTGATTAATGGGGCTATGTTCCGCCTGGTTCCCAGGACGCTCTTGAAAACAAGATGTTTCATTTCATTGCCTTTTCCTAGTGCAGTGATTACAGTAAATAAACCAGTGCAGGCTCCTTCCACCTGGAATCAGTCAGGGAGTCCCCACACTTCTACTCCACTTTCTCCCCCAGCATCACCTTCAGTGGCACATCCCTTGAATGCCCTCTGTTCTGCCATCTACCAAAGGTTCCAAACCTCCAGGAGAAACAAACTGCTTAAGTCTAAGGCCCCTCCCTAGCAGATTTGGCTCATGCGCAGTAACTCCTCTGGGAAGATTCCAGGATGTAGCTCATTCGTATAGCTCCCTTTGCTCCTTGCCTCTTGCCACTCCACCTCTTGAACCTAATTGTAAAGCTTTCTTTTTTAATTCTCCAATGCAGCTCACTCCTTCTGGAGTACCATTTAGCATTCATAGGGTGCTAAATGTACCAGACTTCTTGGTTAAGTGATCCTCTGGAGAAGAAAGCCATGTCTGTGGATATGGCAGGCCCTGGATTGGACCACAATTTAGCTATTTGAGCTATGTCCTGAGTAGGCAGAAAGAAAGCTGTAAGGATCCTTAGCACCCACCAAAGCAGGGATCCGAACCACAGATTTTTGACAAATGGTGGTGACAGAGAAATTAACCTTCTTTTTCTAATTCTGCCCTAGAGTTTGAACCAGGGAGAGCCAGACTTTGCATTTTCAGAGTTTCTTCCCATGTTCAACCAGGACCTAGGAAATATGTACTTAGGACTGAGGTTTGCCCAGGATTGAGGGGTTTCTGGGGATATGGGACTTTCAGTGCTCAAACTGGGCAGTACCAGGCAAATCAGAGCAGTTGGTCACCATATATTTAAGCTTTGCTTAAGTGAGAAAAAAGAGAGGCAGTGGGATGGCCAAGTTGGCACTGATACTGGTTCAACTGCTATGAAATACATGGGAAGCTTTACCTTCCCAGGAGGGTCTTGGCAAGCCAGGAGTGAAGTTTTTGCTGGGTGTATATGTGATTATTTGCTTTCCCACTTATGGATAGGAAGAGATTTCTAAAGCATTGCAAGGGGCAAAAAACCATATGACTCTTTCCATGGTGTGACTGGCCCCTCTGGCTGTGTGGGAGGAGGGGAGACTGGCGCTCTGTTGCTGTCTATGTGGCATATACTTGGCTGGACAGGAGTGGGGGAATTATGGGAGCTGCCTCAGGCACTGAGTGTCTAGAGCTTTTGAGTAAGTGTCTCAGGCACACTGTCTGGAAAGGTGACAGGACCTGCATTAGGCAGCTGAATCTCTCAATTCTTTTTCCTCTCTGGTTAGGATTAAAGCCTCCCTCTAATCAGTTTCAACTTTGCATAGATTGACACACACTCACAGGATTGCTGCCATGGATGCAATTTTGTATCCTACCTTTTTGGGTAAGATTTCCTGGCACATGCCAGCTGTATACCACATTTGCCACAAATGCCTCCCTGCTCACAGGTGCTTAGACTACTTTAACTGGTCCCTTTTTAGAGCTGCTCATCTTTTCTTACCTTATTTCTCCCAGGGTTGCTGTGGATGTATGGTCGATGCTGGCTGATTTCTGTAACATATTGACTGCAGTCAATCAGTCTGAAGTGCCACTATACAAGGACCCAGATGATGACCTCACCCTTCTTATCCTGGAAGAGGATCGGCTTCTCTCAGGCTTTGTCCCCTTGCTGGCTGCCCCTCAGGACCCCTGCTACGTGGAGAAAACCTCGGATAAGGTCAGCCCCAGGCCAAGCATCCCTCCCCATTCACCCCTCCTCTTAATTCTCCAGACTTTTTTATTCTTGGGAAGTTTTCTGTGCAAACGGAACATGATTAAGTCATTGAGAAGGGTGTTAAGGGAAAATATCGACCTTTTAGCCGCTGACATCCAGCTCTGTGTCCTGAAAAAAAAAGCCCTCTTAACTTCCTTTGGTGTGTGTGTGTGTGCGCTCGCTGGCATGTTGTATATACGATCATTTCCTCACTTGTTTAAATAGTGCAGCTTGTGTTGGCAGTGCTCTCACTCAGCTCCAAATGGTTTGCATCATGCTTAAAGCACCCTCCTTCCTCCCCCCTTTCCTTCTTCCCCCCAGCCACAAAACTCTGCACTAGGAAAATAGCCAAGGCTTTTTCCCTTCTCTAGGAGGAGAGTGATAAATAGGTGACTAGAGAGAAGCAGACACCATGTGTTAACTTACAAAAAAAAGCCTTTAGGAATATGAAGCGTTCCCGCTGCCTGGTTTCTATTTTTCTTCCTCTGAGGACTTTGTTTTAACCTGAACTTTCTTCTTGTCTGTTTATAGAAAACAAAGCCTATTGCCTGTTGCTCTGATGGGGACTGTGAAACGCTTAGTCTCTGCTCAACAGTTGGGTCCTCAGCCAGGTGTGGAGAGTAGGGCAGTCTGTTCTGCTTCATATTCCTATGTAGTCGTTGTTGGCTGGGGAAGTAGCACCCAGAGACCCTGGGAGCAGAGTCTCCTGTGCTGAGCGAGAGAACCCTGTGACTGACCTCTTTGCAGAGTTAACATCACACTCCTTTGGGGAGAGGTCTTTGGGGAAGAGTCCAGAAATGGCTTCCATCTCCAGGAAGAAGTCTTTTGACCTACATGAAGTACACATAGAGATGTAGTAGATTAAAAAATGTCAGATAATAAAAACTAAATTCTAAATGTAAATACAAATATGAGAGATTTTATACTGACTATAAAATTTTAAAACTTGTTATTAGCAGAAAAGAATATATGTTCATTGTGAACAAGTAAAAAGAAAAACTTACAATCCCTCTATCCATTGGCAACATCACTATTATTTTTGCTGATCACATATAATCACATTTAACTTCTAGTGTACACCCACTTTGTTTTGTTTGTTATAAAACTGGAGATCATATTATACATACTATTTGTAATCTGCCTTTTTTACTTAATATATGTTCTTACATGGAATTAATTTATTTTTATGTGGAATATACTATTCTTACATGGGATATTCTTATATGGAATATATACCTAATATATTCTTATATGGAATAATTTTTGATAATCACTTAGTATTCTTTATATGCCAAGATTTCTTTAACTAGTCTTTGCTTTGTTGAACCAAGGGACTGTTCCCAGTTTTTGCACTATTATAAACCATGAAGTGATTCCTTATAGCATATGTTCTTTTGGTTAAGTTTCTGTAAGTAGGTAAAGGTTCCAGACATTGAAATATCAAAAACCCATACATTCTGGATGCATTTAATAACTAATGGAGCTTAGGAATATAAGAACCTCTCTCTCCTAAGATGTATACTCATTTTATGCTTTTTCCAGTGAAAAGTTGGAATGAAATCCTGCTCTTCTAGTCTCAGAAGGGGATAACCGTGGGAGTTGTAGTATGTGAGACTGAGGACAACTAACATAAAAAGTATGCTTTGTGGAAGATGTTCAGTTACGAGAGTTAGAAGAGAAATTGGAGAACCATGATTTGGGCCAGGGGATCCTAGTACTGTTCTACTGTGATCACAAGGTAGTCTTGACTCTGCAGGGTACTTTTGGGAGTTGGCTATTGGGTTAGCTATCTTTTACTGCAGAACAAGGAAGGAGCCCTAACCAGTTTCAGACTTTGTAGCTCTATGGTCTTATCAGCAATCCCAGCTTTAATGTCAGCATATAATAGAGTACATGTATATAATACAGCATATGATATAGTATAGCATATGATCTGGCCAGAGAAGAATGCAGAGCCAGCAGCCCATGCCCTCAGCCTGTTGTAGTGATTCACAGACTACCTGGAGCAGTTGCAACTCATTGAGACTAAGGTAGGTCTCTGCTTCAAGGATTGTGAAATAGGTATGTCAGATATAACATCTCCAGATCCAAACTTCTGAATTTCTTTCCCCCAGACCTAGTCTTTCTTCAGTCTCCCCATCTTGGTAAATGGCACCTTTGACTTTTGGGTAGCTCGTGTCAAAATTCTTCTTTTTCCCTTCTCTAGGAGGAGAGTGATAAATAGGTGACTAGAGAGAAGCAGACACCATGTGTTAACTTACAAAAAAAAGCCTTTAGGAATATGAAGCGTTCCCGCTGCCTGGTTTCTATTTTTCTTCCTCTGAGGACTTTGTTTTAACCTGAACTTTCTTCTTGTCTGTTTATACAAAACAAAGCCTATTGCCTGTTGCTCTGATGGGGACTGTGAAACGCTTAGTCTCTGCTCAACAGTTGGGTCCTCAGCCAGGTGTGGAGAGTAGGGCAGTCTGTTCTGCTTCATATTCCTATGTAGTCGTTGTTGGCTGGGGAAGTAGCACCCAGAGACCCTGGGAGCAGAGTCTCCTGTGCTGAGCGAGAGAACCCTGTGACTGACCTCTTTGCAGAGTTAACATCACACTCCTTTGGGGAGAGGTCTTTGGGGAAGAGTCCAGAAATGGCTTCCATCTCCAGGAAGAAGTCTTTTGACCTACATGAAGTACACATAGAGATGTAGTAGATTAAAAAATGTCAGATAATAAAAACTAAATTCTAAATGTAAATACAAATATGAGAGATTTTATACTGACTATAAAATTTTAAAACTTGTTATTAGCAGAAAAGAATATATGTTCATTGTGAACAAGTAAAAAGAAAAACTTACAATCCCTCTATCCATTGGCAACATCACTATTATTTTTGCTGATCACATATAATCACATTTAACTTCTAGTGTACACCCACTTTGTTTTGTTTGTTATAAAACTGGAGATCATATTATACATACTATTTGTAATCTGCCTTTTTTACTTAATATATGTTCTTACATGGAATTAATTTATTTTTATGTGGAATATACTATTCTTACATGGGATATTCTTATATGGAATATATACCTAATATATTCTTATATGGAATAATTTTTGATAATCACTTAGTATTCTTTATATGCCAAGATTTCTTTAACTAGTCTTTGCTTTGTTGAACCAAGGGACTGTTCCCAGTTTTTGCACTATTATAAACCATGAAGTGATTCCTTATAGCATATGTTCTTTTGGTTAAGTTTCTGTAAGTAGGTAAAGGTTCCAGACATTGAAATATCAAAAACCCATACATTCTGGATGCATTTAATAACTAATGGAGCTTAGGAATATAAGAACCTCTCTCTCCTAAGATGTATACTCATTTTATGCTTTTTCCAGTGAAAAGTTGGAATGAAATCCTGCTCTTCTAGTCTCAGAAGGGGATAACCGTGGGAGTTGTAGTATGTGAGACTGAGGACAACTAACATAAAAAGTATGCTTTGTGGAAGATGTTCAGTTACGAGAGTTAGAAGAGAAATTGGAGAACCATGATTTGGGCCAGGGGATCCTAGTACTGTTCTACTGTGATCACAAGGTAGTCTTGACTCTGCAGGGTACTTTTGGGAGTTGGCTATTGGGTTAGCTATCTTTTACTGCAGAACAAGGAAGGAGCCCTAACCAGTTTCAGACTTTGTAGCTCTATGGTCTTATCAGCAATCCCAGCTTTAATGTCAGCATATAATAGAGTACATGTATATGATACAGCATATGATATAGTATAGCATATGATCTGGCCAGAGAAGAATGCAGAGCCAGCAGCCCATGCCCTCAGCCTGTTGTAGTGATTCACAGACTACCTGGAGCAGTTGCAACTCATTGAGACTAAGGTAGGTCTCTGCTTCAAGGATTGTGAAATAGGTATGTCAGATATAACATCTCCAGATCCAAACTTCTGAATTTCTTTCCCCCAGACCTAGTCTTTCTTCAGTCTCCCCATCTTGGTAAATGGCACCTTTGACTTTTGGGTAGCTCGTGTCAAAATTCTTGTGGTTATTCTTGGCTCCTTGCTTTTTCTTACACCTCCATATCTAATTCATCATCCGTTCATGTCTTCTTTACCTTCAAAATAAATGCAGATACAACTCTTTCGTACCACTGCACCCTAGTTCACTTCATCAAAATGCCTTTTAACTGGTTTCTCTAGTTCTTCTCTCCTATTCCCCAGTCTATTTTCAGCACAGCAACTGAAACTATTTCTTTAAAACATCAATAAGATCGTGTCATTTCTCTGTTAAAAATCTTCTGATACTGTTCCTCTCACTTAGAGTAAAAGCCAAAGTTGTAACAACAGCTTACAGTGCCCTCAGTGATCTGATGCCACCTCCACCCTCGGCTCTCTGACCTCAGCTCCTCCTGGTCTCCTCACACCCAGGATGCCCTGGTCACATCAGTGTCCTTGCTCTTCCTCAAACAAGCTGATCACTAATGCCTAAGGATCTTTGCAGTTGCTTTCCTCTTAACCTAGAACACTGTGTCCCCACAGAGCTGTGTGGCTCTCTCACTCCCTTCTAAAGGTCACCTTGGTCGAGAGGTCTTCCTTAGCTGTCCTCTCTAAGATGTTACCTGTCTTCCTTTTTCTTTTCCTCTGCTTTATTGACCATGGCAGAGAAAAATAACAGCTCTTGAATACCTAGCATGAATCAGTCCCTGGACTAGGTAGTTTCATATAGTGCTTCATTGAGTCCTCACAGTAAGCCTGCCAAGTAGATATTAGTACCTTTGTGTATTAAAACAGGTGACTTAGGCTCAAGAGAAAAGTGAAAAATGATGATAAACACATACAGGTCATCTCCATGGCTGACCGAGAAGATTAGTACAGGTGTGTCAGAGGGAATCTTTAGGAACTTGTAATCTTTCAGAAAGCTGAAAAAGATAGACATTTTTTCCAGCTTCTAGTGTTCACTGCTAAAAAATGTAACATATCTC